TGGTCCACAGAGCAGAGTCCAGCATGAGAGCATATACCTACCCTTCAGAGACCCTCCACCACTCAGCCATGATGACACAAAGCCACCACACTCAATCTTCCAGCCCAGTGATGCATATGCCACAGTCACCTAGGATCACCTGTATCTGTGTAAAGGGGTCAGAGTGGGGTTTAAAGACACCAACAGAACATTTAAGTGCTTGCCATCTGCTTTTGGACACAGCAGTCTGTGCAATAACAAAGATCTAAGAAAGCACAAATATTCTCTATAGACAGAATTTTGGCTAGATATTCTGAACAACTGGGCTTTAAAGCCAGCCCTCCTGTGTGGTAGAACACGGGACCTGGCCAACATTGTTTGGTTACTGTAATGTGCACCTGAACATTTGCTTCTCAATGCCAACTAGGTCTTGCAATGAAGGAGCCGAGCAAGAGGGCTGTTCCAGCTTACTTGCAATGAAGAGAACTTTACGGGGGGAATTAGGTCATGTGCTTAAGTTGAAATGGGTATTGAGGCTCCCATGATACAAACTGGCTAACAAAACCAGTAGTCAAGAAATCTCTGTAAGGCAGATGTTCGTATTTGGTCAGATCACTCATACCCTCAACTCCCATGGACTAAAGTCAGAAAGAGTCTGGACAACTATGACATCAAGAAATGAAGTTCCATTAAGTGAAACCCAAGCCTATATTCCCAGGTTTTGGCTCTTCAACTGGTCTGGCTTTAAAAGAAGTCATACCAAGCATGAGTTGTTAGCAGCATCTAAGAAACAAGTAAAGGCCAGAGAGTGTATGTCCAAAAAACTGAGTTGGTAATTACAAGGATTCATCCCTTGTTTTCAGATAAAAGCATGTCAGGATAAGACTTCACATCCCTGACATGGTTCAAAATGTTTATTCCTAACTTTCCCATTAAAAATCCCAGCTTAACATGCACAGTCAAAGACACAAATCATCTATGAATCTGAAACAGTTTATCTTGATATATCCACCTGGTTTTCTCTTTCCTAATTTTCCATTATTTCATTCTTCATGTATTTTCCTTCCCATGTTTATTGCAAGCAAACCCTATCACTCATCCCAGCCTTGCATTTCTGTTTTCTTTCAAAATATTTAAACTTTCCCCAACCTGTTCATTTCCTGTAGCCAAACACCACCCAGGCAATTACAATTAATATATTACAGTGAATGCAAAGATGTATGAAAGCAATATAGCTCCCTTTTGCTGAGCTGCCCTCTTGAAAACACATCAAACAGCTGATAACAGTCAGGTTAAAAAAAAAAACAGCAAAAAAACAAGAAGACAAAAAAACCCCACCACAAACCAAAAAAAAAACCCAAAAAACCCAAACTAAAACCAACCAACCAACAAAACCTGCCCCCTGTCCCATTACCCACTGAACCTAATAAGCAATTATGTTCCAATATAAAAATTATTAGCAATCATTTTCCATTTCACTCCTAAAGTACAAGCATTACAAGTACAAACCAAGTGTTGACTAAAACTGAGCATTTATTTATTAATTTCTCACAATTTTGCTCATATAAGCACAGGGACTTAAAAAGAAAAGCACTTTTTAGATCATACCTTGAGTAACATTGTGCAGGTGAGAGGCATCTGTTCATAACAGAGTACCATGTACATCCCCAGGCAAGGGCTGAAATCAGTAGCAATCACTGGCACATCAGAGATAAAGCAAGCAAAAGCTGGAGACTCCTTCCCTTACTTTTCATAACATGCAGGATTAAGAAGCACATGGGAAGATCCTTCCCTCTAAAGGGTCTTCAGTAAGAGGAAACATGTTCTGCAGCACTAGTTTGGAGAGATGGAAGTTGTGGAAGAGTTCAGACCTGTTTGAAAACCTCACTCTTGGTAATCTAGACAGCATTAGCCCAATTGCTTGGGGAAACAGAGTGCCTCCATAACTACTGAAAAAAACTAAATATGAGAAAGGGAAAATATTCAGTAAAATCATGATATCTTGCATTTGAATACCAGACTTTCTAAGGTGTACCACCATTCATTATGTTTTTTCCCACTCCCTTGCCAATTGCCTTAGTGTCTGCCTGGAAGGGTAGATGAGTCTGTCTTTCCAGATCTGTACCTCAGAGCTGGGACAGTCAACACAGGGTAATGGCAATTGTTATGGTAGTTTTGTGGCATATTCGTTTTCTTCCAGCTGTCACAACTAGAAAGGAACCATTGGCAGAGAGGGTTTCTGCCAGCTTCAAGCTGTACATCTGTTCACGTCTGTTCAGACAACATGGGATGCAATCTCCCCTTCCCCTTGTGCTGGCATCTGCTTGCTTGTGCTGTTTGCCCTCAAAGGCCTTAGATTTCAGATGCTGAAAAGTGAATCTCTGTGGATGAAAATGCCTTCATGTATTTTAAAAAGAAAAGAAGTAGAGGTGTGCAGCCTTTGCTATCAGCGCTAAACAATTCCCCTGCAGTCAATGAAAGCTGAACTAAAACTAGCAGTGGTCCATAATGCTATGAGGAGAAGCAGCTTTTGCAGGACTCCTCAGCATGTACAGCAGGGCTGGGAGATTCTGGAGCTGATAGAAGCAAATTCTGATTCAAATGGGACAAATTACAGCTAATCAAAATTATCTGCTAGGACAGGGATGGATGATTATGTCAGCGAGGAATTCAAAAGCTTGCTGGATCACTGTAATGGCATATTTTAAGTACTCATAGGACTCCCGTCATCTACCACAGCCACAATAATGAGATTTATTTAGAACAAACCATCAGAGAACAAAATGACAAAATATTTCACCATTAAATAATCCCCCAACCCTATCTCTGCAGTTTTCACACTAAAAAACCCTAGAAATATATATAAAATGTTACGTGTTCAGTTGCAGACTCACAACACTGACTTTACAACAGACTCTTCAGATTTTAGCAAATCTCAAAATGGCTCTGCATGACCTTTGAAACAACAGGAACACTGACAGTTGGGGAACACAATCCCAGGGTTATGGGCTAGTTAGTAAGCTTTAGAGAGCAAAAGATTATAATCAAGTCTTGAAAAAGAAGCAGCAATCATTTCACCACTAAAATGGACATGAAATCAGCTTCTGCCTCCTTGCATCACTCTTAGGCAGTTCCAAATGAGCACTTCTTACTCACTCCCACGGTTTTACATGTAATAAAGATAGAGAGGAGGAATATATGACCTTTGAAATTGATCTCAAGGAGGTCTCTCTTTTTTCTTTTTTCCTCTTCAAGCCAAGCCAGTGTGTAACTCTGCACAGCCTCAACTCAGCAGAAAGAGTGACAAAAAGATGAAGACACTCATTACTTAGAAGAGATTCACACCTCTTCATTCATTTTACTCTATTATGTCACTAGCTGGCCAATCAAAGAAAAAAATACTGCTATCACTCCCTTTTAAAATGTGATTCTCTCCATGATTCTGCATTAAAATAGACAACATTCTATAGCTAACAAAAGAAGACCGGGGAAAACTTGGGCCCACTGCTGAATGAGATGGGGAACCTCATTACATAGAACGTGGAAAAGGCTGAATTACTGAATATCAGCTTTGCCTCAGTGTACCCGTATTTCAGTTCTCTGAATTTCAGCTTAAATTAAAGGAAAGACAAGCACAAAGAAACTTTTATCTGATCAGGTTAAAAGTTCAAGATTTTAGCCATCCTCACACAGGGTTCATTTTTCCCCTACAAAAATATTTGAGATACTCAAATTTAGAATTTTTGTATCATGTTCAGGGCTTACATAATCACATCCACAGACTCACATAAAACTGTCAGAGCTACAGAGAAGGTAAACATCACTTTTTGCAAATTCTATCCCTGACTGCAGTGGAAGAAGAGTTCCTACCAATATGAGTAATCAGATTAACATCTTTGTGCCAGTGTCTACCACCTGAAATAAAAAATGGTGTCTTTTTATCTAAAGCAACAAAAAAGGGGAAGATGCTCCATCCTTCAAGCCAGCATTTGTAATATGATATTGCTGTCTTTGTCATTCCTACATATGTGTGAAAAAGTCCTTCAATATGTGTACTGCCACAGTCTACCCTCCAGCCTTCTTCAATTCCACTATTGCAAAGGTGTTCTGCAAAAATAATTTTTAGATCTGCTAGTCCTCCCAGGCAGCAGTATTTTAATTTTCAATAGTCCCACGATGCACAGAGTTATGGCACTGTCTTCCAAGATGACCAAAAGTTACAAAACCAGATAAACAGATGAATCCATGTTGATAGAAAAGCAAATTGGCGAAACAAAGAGACTAAATCATATTGTCTTGTATATCAAGCACCAAAAACATATGAAGTATGTTCTGGGAGAGATCAGATCCAAAATGCCTCTGGACTACTGATACTGCCAACTTCCAATTTTCATCAACTGCCAGAGATGGTTGTGAGGTTACCATTAACCCAATCCAAGTTCCTTCTCAGGCACTGGCTGATTGCTGCTAACAGTCACTGGAACAAGAGACTTCTGTATCACAGAAATAAGAAAGCTTGAAGTCTACAAAGTTCAAACTTACTGCCATTAACTGCTTTGATTTAAAATACTTCATATCTTTATCTGAATACAGCACAAACAGTTTTTATCAGTCTCTTCCCCTCCATGTTTATATGAGAATTCTGTAAGCTTTAAGTTGCAAAATGAGATATACCAAACAAAATAGTTGAATAACTAGGTAAAAGCATAGAACAACCCAAATTCAAACATTAATTGCTTCAGATGAACAAGGTTACCCTTTTCATTAAAACCTCCTTATTGCAGATGTTTCCATGAGCTGTCAAGAACTGCCAAGTGCCAGATCAGACAGCCACCCTTGCCTATGCAGAGAGCACTCACACATCCACACAGCATCAAACAGAACGGACAGTTTACAACAATGAACAAACTATTTTATTTTTCCTGCTAGATAAGAACATCCCAGTGAAAATAAAGAATAAAAAATATATTCTGCTGTAAGACTCTGAATGCTTGAATCTGACGCAACAGCACACAGCGAAATTCTGGTGCAGAAACATCACAGTTATCTTTGTGCACATGGGTACACAGAATGCCATGAACAAATATTTATACCCATAATAGTGCCATGTACAAAAGACCAAATAGAAAATTCAAACATCTTTGTTTTTCTTATGCCAAGGGCAACGTAAAAAATGAAAGCTGTTTTCAGTCAATTACTTCCACTTAAATTGTATGGGATCTTTTTATGCTGAAGAACCCAAATTCAGCATAATAAAACATAGAAGAAGTAGTATACAATTATATATATGTATAAACAATATACTGAACACATAGGGCATGATGATTCCATTAATATATAATTTTTGGTGTAACCATATGAAAGTTAAGCCAATATTTTTCTAACACCAAGAGAAAATATTCTGTTTCTTCAATCAATGCTCTGATATTTTCTTGCTATAAAAAGCATGCCTGTATTGTATCATCTAAGCATACATGCACCATGAAAGATATGCAAAACAAATTGATGCAGATAAACTTTAGTGTCAAATGTCTAATGATGTAATAACAAAAACAATTCTCAGGGCCCAAATGACTTTCTGAATTGAAATTGCATTGCAGTCACTTAAAATAATAAAATACTTGGACTTGTGAGTCACAAAATTTGCTGTTTTCTAGCAGTACCTCTGCTGAAATCTGTTGAGTATCAGTCTATGGGTAAAGAAAGTAATTTTCAAAAAAGGAATGTGTAAAAAATACATTTATACTGTATGTTTTCATATAAAAAGGCATTAAGAAATACAATAAATCCTACCATTTTAGGAATACACCTTCCCTAACAAACAGTTTTTATCACTTGACTATTACATACAGTACATTCAGTTTCCTAAACAGAAAGTATATTTTCTTGTCCCTGATGTATTTTACAACTGGCAGTGACAACAAACTGTTTTATTATCACCACTCATTCTTGCAGCTTATACAAACAGCACCAATTTTACCCAAAAAAAAGGTTTATGAGTTACATAGTAGCACTTCCTCACAGGAAATATAAACCCAAAACATTGGAACCAAATGTGTCTTTCCAAATATATATCAGAATATATGGCTCAGAGTTAAGGGATGAATAACCAGGAGTATTGCATAGTACAGGGACCTTGCCTGTATGAATATAAACACCTTTTGATTGTTTGTCACCTTCTGACTCCAAGAACAAACTAAACAGGTGCTAATGAAAGTAATACAAAACTAAATTTACTGGTAAAAAAACAACAAGAAATTGTACAGTTCTCTCTGGCACAGTGCAAAGTACACATTAAAAAACTGAAAATATATGTACAGTGTGTATGTATATTTTTATATAGTATGTATTTCCCTGACACATACACATGTACATATAAAAAGCATGAACACATCCATGCCGATCTTAGCAAAAAGATGGAATGTTTAATATGTGGATACATTATTCCAGTGAAATCAATCTGTCTCAGAAATGGCTGTTTATACAGCCAATACGATCTTCCATGAAACAGAAATATTTACTGCCTGCCTAAACTGACAATATGATACATTTGTCCTCATAACTTCCCAGAGGACTGATAATCACACTTTATAAAAGCTTATATTTGTATTAAGCCCTCTCTTCTATTTCCCTTCCTCTCTTCTGAAAGACCAGAATATTCACTACAGAGATGAAATTTTCTATTTTAAGGTTTTCTTGCAATATAAAAGTTTACAGCCACCCCGGTAAAAATTATTAACACCTGATGCTGGTTTAATTTATTATTTCCCTTTGGGATTCAGCTGTTTTGGTTCTGGATATGAACACGTTGGCTGAAGCCTGTAACACAGAACACACTTTTGAGGATTCAGAGAGCATTGTTACCAGACCTGCCCAGACCCAGTATGATCAACTGTCCTTCCCTGCCAACTTTCTGTTAAACAGTTTGCAAAAATACTAGAATGTAATACAAATCCCTCCCCCCCTTTATCCTGAATGTCTCTTTCACAATTCGAGGCCACTTTCAAAAAATAAAGGTTTATATCAGCAAAAGCGTTTCAAATCAAGGCGATGGCTGTGAACCTGAGAGCTTGGTGTGATCCGAACACACGTTTGTGGCATTCCCACTGGCTAGAACTTTCCTTGTTTAAGTCGTTCAATGTGGTAGCACAACTTTAGGGCAGGCCCCAGTTTCAGTCCCATATACTTCATAATCATATCACTCCTCAGTAAGAGTAGTGCCTTCCCATCAATTTCCTGCAGGAGGAAGAGAATAAACACAACAGACAACTACTTGAACAAGCTGCATGGTAAAATGGGAAAGTGCATTATAGTTGGTTATACTGTAGTAAAAATATATCTACTATATATAAAACAGGAACTGTAAGTTTGAATTTACAGATGACCACTGAAGTTTAATTTGTTTTAGTATTTTTTAATGTGTGATGAAGTGTTTGAGATGTTAAAGAAAGATAATGATAGTAAATAAAAGAAACTGACCAAACAGTCCTCAGAATTAGTGTTTCCAACCAGGAAAAAAAGTGAATGGGTCAAGGGCAAAAATAAAAAGAATCGGCAAAGGAAGATCTGTGCAGTTAGAGATTAAATGATCCAAGCACCAAGGCCTTGCACTGAACCTTGAAAACAGCTGTGGGAGGATTTTGGCATACATGTGCAAATGGTCACATGAAGGAAGGAAGGAAGGGGTTAGAGACCATCTAAATACGGGAAATTAGACAGATCTATTTCCATGCTGAACCAAAGAGATTGTCAGGATCAAGACCAAGGACAACTTAGTCAGATTTCAACTGTCTGACTGAGAAGCTGCTGAAATATGACAGTCCTAAGCTGTTAGTATCATTACATACCATAGACAGGCAATTAGTTCCATAAAGCACCATTAAGAGAAACACTGTCTTACTTTTTTAAACATTAACAAAACAAGTGACATTTACTGTTGTTATATAACTAAGAATAAAATATAAGAAGGAATCTCCATCAGAAGTTATTTTGATTTTTCCTTCCAATCCAGCTTACTCAGATATTAAACTGTTAGGAGGAGCTGGAGCAGGAGATGGGTGAAATACTACTAAAGAGAAAGGAAATTTTTTTTTGGAGAGCCATATATGAAATAAAATAAGAAAGAAGCTCTTTATTGATCAATCTACCATAGAAAGGTACAGCAAGAAGAAATAGGGGAAATCAAACCTACCACAAATGGATACAGTTTCTGTCTCTAAAAATAATATCTAGTCAGACCTATAAAACCCTTAGACATTGTTTTCTCAAACAGATGCATTATTTCAGTTCTCAGAATTTTCGCATCAATGATCAAGTGCCTAGGTAACAATGGATAACATCATCTCTGCTCTAGAAGATTGTCTCCAAACAGGGAGACTGAGTGTCCCACACTGTACATGACAACGCCATCATCTCTAGAGGCACCAGGGAGAACAGGGGTGCCATGGATGTTGGCCACCAGAACTTGGGCTCTTCCAGGTTGGCATTATTCCACATACACTGGGAAGAGGTGGCTATTTATGTTAGTCTAGCAAGACTGAAAGAAAATAGACTGCAGGAGGGGTTTCAGGTAGAAAAGCAAGTTTCCACCTCTCTCTCTAATATATCAGGAGAGTCTACTCCACCTCCAGCTGCAAACAGACTGACAGACATGACACAACTGTCCATCTACTAGAACAGAATGGACAAGCATCATACATGTCTCCTGAAGAGTTCAGCATGTGGAGCCAGTGCCCGTGGATCAGCTTCTTTCACAAAATGCACTACTTCCTCTATTGACCAGGTGGAAGGATCCTTATTCACTATTCTTGAAGGTTCCCTTTTTAGTGAATTCAAATCCGGTCCAGTTGTGGAGCTTGCAGCTTTTAATACAAAATTATTGTGAAAAGAAGAAGTATCACTAGTTTGTATAGGGATAACATATTTCATTTCATATAAGACACTTTAATATTACCTTACAGCATTTATTATGCATTGTTTGAAATATATTAAAATGAAAAGATGCTTTATTTTCCTTCTAATAATACTGAACGGTGCCTTTTGTCTTTAAATGACTTCTACAATTGCAAATACAGCAGCACAAACATTAGCACTGTGACATACCTAGAGGGATTAGTTTTACTTGTACTTGGCTCCTGGGTAACAAGATGCTATTAACTGGGAATGAGGCAAAGGCAAGTGAAGCTGTGCAGACAGAGGGAAACCCTATCCTTGTATTTCAGCAACCTGGCAATACTTGATAAGATGCTCAGGAAGCGAGCTGCATATAGCTATCCCTCTTTGGTCTGGCTTGCTGCAGCATCCATCACAGAAGCAAGAAGAAGCTGCAGCAGCAAAGACCTCTCTACTTGCACGACACTATTAACACTAACAGGCTTGAGTTCTGTATTTGCAGTTACATTAGCAAGCCTGACATGCTTGGCAACAGCACATTTTACTCCATATGCAAGATCTCCAATGACAAAGAACTTCTTTATTCATAACTCTGCGTGTTAATTGAAGCAGTTACATATTCTGGAAGGTTTTGTGTGACAGCATACCTTCAATGCGCCTCTGTATCCGATTCCTGCTGACTTCATAGTAACCACTGCTGCCAGCCGAGCTCAGGGACAGCCTGCGCAGGACTGGGGCTGAATTTGAGGTAGCAGTTGCTGGCTGATGAGAATTTCTGTAATATGCAGCATTTCCTGAAGTGCGGTACTCTGTGGAATTTCGACAGGTTGGGTTTGACGGATTTACAGAATTAAGTGCAGAATCCATAGAATCCTCAGAAAATCGGTGATCTTTGGAAGTGCTGTTTTCCTCTATAGGCAATGTTTCTGCTACACAAAAAGCAAGCATCAATATGTTCAAGGTGATGGACATTACACTTTTGTTACTTAAGGCCTTGCTATGTTCTCTTGAAGGTACTGACAGATTGTAATCCTGTTAACAAATCTTTTGTGAAACAATCACTGAGACTGAATGGGACAGTGATTGTCCCATTCCTCAACTAATCATTTGGATTAGTCCCTTTCCTCAACTAATCACTGGCCTCTTATTGTATTTTCAAACATTATTTTTGTAGCAAAAGATTTAATATGTCAAGTTTGAGACATTCTTCCATTAATCATTTCAGTTGTACTTACTGAAAGCTATGAGCAGAGAAATGACAGAGAAATTTTCATAATAAAATTGTCTGCTGTAAATATTGATACATCAAATAATTTTAGTCAAGAATTTTCATTGCTTTTTAAACACATCACTAAAAAGACAACAATTAATATTATGTAGCATTTATTTTGCAAGACTTTAATATAAATAAACCCCTCATGTTAACTAACAATTGTTCAGTAAGTTCTAAACAGCAGAGAGAGTTACTAACTTCATAAAGAAAACAAGTGGACAATTATTATCTAAGGACCCCAACAGATTCAGAGAGAGGTGCCATTATTAAAAAGGGAAGAGGTTACAGGCAAAGCCACAGGAGGCTGTGAGTGCCTGGTATGGCACACTAATGTTACGTGTCTTGACCCCCTGCTTTATCTGCACACAGTTCTTTGCATAGGGCAGGGTTTCAAGGTCTCTTAACTGCAGATTCTGGAAAGCTAAAGATACAGGTAAGTTCCTGAACCCACAGAGCAAGTTAAAAAAAAAAAGTGAAGTCTCAGGTTGGGGGAGTATAACAATATTCTAGTTCTTGTGTCTTTTCAGCAAATTTATAAAATTTTCTTTACAAAAGAAAAACCACATCTACTCAGAAGACTTGTGAACTTTTAAAGTCTGTCAATACTGATTCTAAGCCACATGAGTGGAGTTCAGCATGTCCCTTTCCCTGGGTCATGAGACCCAGGTTTGCTTCATTACTGAAAATTCCACTCCTATTCAGCCCAATTCAGGTCTGTTTGAGAGAAGCATGCTATGTGAGGGAAAAAACCCAACTCAACAGGAGCATCACTCCATTCTCTAGCAATCATAGATATTCTCCTCAGTTTGTAACAGACAAAATCTAGCACGAGAAAGAAGTTGGAAGCATGATGTACAAATCTGTATGAAACAAATGCTGCTTTGGCAGGAGAGTTAAAAGCTGGAAAAATATAGCTAACAGGTTCACAGAAGTGTAAGCCCCACACTACCATCTTGAAAATAACTCTATTGAAGTTATAAAACATATGCTAGCGAGGCAGTATATTCTTTGGAATAAGAACTGGTATGTTCTGCAAAACAAGTTCCTGAAACAAGCTTTTTACTACCTTTTTTTTTTTGAAACTTTTCAGGATTTTTTTGGGCAATTGCCAATTTAAACCCAAGGGAGGGTTTTTTTCTTAATTACCCAGTGACCTTCTCAAGCATGCTTTCAATTTGCTTCATGAGATCTCAGGTTTGCTTTCTGAATCCTGTTTGAAGTGAAGTACAGTGAAGAACTGTTATGTGTATTTTGACCTTCTAACAGCATAACCATGAAAGGGAATTAAAGGCTCTCAGAGAGCCAGCTCCCTACTGAGTGAATTCGGTAAGGCAAGACCACAGAACCACAGAATGGAACCACAGAATCGTTTCGGCTGGAAGAAGCCATGATGACCACTGTTAATCCAGTACCACTGTGTCCACCACTGAGCCACACCTACGTGTCTTTTAAATACTCCCAGGGATGATGACCCAACCCTGGGCAGCCTGTTCCAATGCTTGGCAAGCCTTTAGTGAAGAAACTTTTCCTAATACCCAATTTGAACTTCTCCACGTGCAACTTGAGGCCATTTCCTCTTGCCCTATTGCTTGGGAGAAGCGTTAATTGGGACAAGATATGAATTCCCATCTCCCAACAACCTCTTTTCACACAACTGTAGAGCACAGTAAGGTGAAAGGAGGTGAACATTTCCACCAGCTCCCTCAGTACTCCTTGGCAGATTTTATATGGTCCTAGACCTGTGCACATCTTAAGTAGTGACCATTTTCCCTTGGATTGTGGGGGCTTCAATCACTACTGCTTTCCATCACTACCTTCCAGTTCAGGATGTTGGGTACATGTAACAACTGAACTTAGTACAAAAGACAGAGGAAAAGGAGGCATAAAGTACTTCAAACAGCCTTCCTCAAACTTCATCACTTTGTTTCCCCGAACATCCAATAAAGGCTTGAGATTCTCCTTAGCCCTCCCCTGACTGCTGAGAAAAATGAGACAAAAATTTTCATGTCTCTTATGGCAGTAGCCAGATTAAATTCTATGTGGGCTTTAATCTTGCTAATTTTCGCCCCAAATAACCTAATAGCATCCTTGTAGTCCTTCTGATTTTCCTGCCCCTTCTTCCAAAGTCTTTTTTTTTTCCTGAGTTCCAGCCAAACCTTTCTGTTCAGCCAGGACAGTCTTCTTCAATGCAAGCTTGTCTTTCAGCATGTGAGGACAGCCAGCTCCTGTATCATTATGTCCAGTCTTCCTGGACTCCTTATCTGCAAGGTGATGTAACACCTTTTACTAAATTTGACAGTCATGGAATAAAGAAGCTTTTATGGATACAAGTCCTTCTCTTTCATACAAATAACTTTCAAAATAACTGCTGTAAAATGTTCTAGTTTGTCAGACCTGAATCACAAAAGCAAAGAAGAAGTTACTGAGGTTTTTGAAGAAAACAAACAAGAAAATAAAAGCCTTTATATTTCTCAGAAGTACTTAAAGCAACTCACCAAGATTAAAAACAAAAGGTGTCATTCCACAGAATTTCAGAGAGACTTTAAGATATAAAGTCAATGATGCACACTATAAAATTAAAAAGTACCCAACCAAAGGAAAATTAGAGCTGTAGAGAATGAAACCACATCTCAGTGAAAGGCTGAAAGGCAGAAGTGATACCTTAAATCATTAACAGCAAAGCTGTATGAAGGAGCATAAGGTGTAACTGACTGAACCTGTACATTCAGATTTCAGAAGTCTTGAAAGGTAGGATGAAACACTGCAGGCAACACTCCCCAGCAGAGACTTTTGACTGGAATATTAAAGCATGTACCAGCCAACTCCATGTAACATAATAAGAAAAAACATTTTTAAAGCTTTTATGGTAAACTAGCAGGAAACCAAATAAAGGTTGTTTTTTTTTGGTTTTTTAATAATTGGCTTACATTATCTTTGTCAAGATTTCTGTAGGAAAAAATGTTAAAAATTGACTGTATTACCAAAGAACTTAATTGCATTCATTCCAGTTATATCCCAAGTTTCCCTCTGATGTTATATATTCCGAAGCAAATACTAGGTTTGGGAAAGATCAACTCTTGATTTTTT